ATGGAACTAGGTGGTTACAATGTGTGATTGTGTGTCATGATACCCTGACACTAAGAAGATGCTCATGATGTCAGCCACTGGTTTGTCTAAACCAATTTTAATTACTCAAAATGGTATAATTCTGTACTGTTCCTGATTGCAGTGTATAACATTCTCGTGTTCCCTGATAAATGCTACATTGTTGGTTCATGCCCTAGCACTCTGTCACAGCATTACAACATACTGACAGTGAATAGCTGGAATATTGCTGAATGTGTGTCGTTAAACAACAAACAAAGACATCGAACAGCAGCAGTTTAGTGTGTCTTTTTGTTAATTAATAAGTGCTGTAAATAAACAAGTTTTCATTCACCTGATGAAGTAGTACCAAACACTGAAACATTGCGTTCCTTTTATATTATACAACTTATATGTATGAAATAACATTCTGTTTATTTTCATCCATTTACGAGTGACAGAAATGCTGTGGAGTTCTAACTGAACAAGCCGTCGGGCTGAGATCATAAGCAACACATGTTGTTTGAAGTGTACTGATTTATGGAATGGGTGAAAGTGGAGTTATTCATGTCTGTCAGCTGATAGCTGCAGTCAGATGACACGGTCCAGCATCCCTCACCTGGCTGCTTTATGACTATCTTATGTAAATATGAGATGTCAGTCGTCTTATCAGCCACCGGATCACTCACATGACCGGCTGGTGACAGACGACCCTCAGGAATGTCGGCCATGTCTGGAAATTATACAATCATGTGAGAAATATAGTTAGCAGACAACTGCTAAACTTGTTAAGTTCCTGACATGGTAAATGCTGAATGTCGCACTTATTGAAACTTGTTGAAAAGATGTTTAAGAGAAACTTTTTACAATAGCGATCCCTAACTTTTAATTCATGTTTTGTTGGTGAAACTATTTTACTATATGTCAGCATCCTCAATGCCCAGTTGTGTTTGTCTGTGTTGGTAGTATTGTTATTATAGACAGCTGAATAGATGAACAGTCTATGAAATCTTTTATTACACAAATGCATTTCTCTCCAAATATTTAAAAAGAAAATTTTCATGATGTTGATTTATGGAACTGGCTAGACTTGCTTTTGTTTGTTTGTTGTTTAACGCCGCACTCAGCAATATTCCAACTATATGACAGCAGTCTGTAAGTAATCGAGTCTGGACCAGACAATCCAGTGATTGACAACATGAGCATCGATCCACGCAATTGGGATTGATGACATGCATCAACAAAGTCAGTGAGCCGGATAACCCGATCCTGTTAATCGCCCCTTACGACAAGCAAAGTTGCCTTTTACGGCATGCATGGGTTGCTGAACACCTAGTCTACCCCGGATCTTCATGGGCCACTTGCTTTTATATTAGTCCACATTGGTTTTGTTTACATATCTTCTACAGTCATGGTGCAGTACTAATGGCTGTCTAGGTAGAGCTGTAAGACAACGATATGCTTTGGGCAAATGGCATTTCGATAGTTTTATGGTTTTCACCTTTGATGGATATTCTTCCGTGACAAATTTAAAACAATTAGAACATTAGATGACAATGACTCCGTGTCCTAGGAAATAAGGGGGCACGGGTGGCCCAGTTATCTAAGGCACCACGAATTGCTGTGCGTCCCTTGGGCACGCCAGAAACCTATGATTGTGGGTTCGAATCCTGGTTCACCCCGATTATCTTTCTAGGTTTGTCAGCACCATACCCGTGTTCGTGGGTTTCACCAAAGCGGTGAATGTCTGAGACCTGCATCACTTCGGGCTTTCCTCCCACATTAAGCTGACACGCCGTGATATAACTGGAATACTGTTAAAAGCGGCATTAAACCCAACTCACTCGCTCACTCACCTAGGAAATGAACCGATCTAAACCCTGCTGCTGTGAATTGACCTTACTTCAGGTACAGCTACAGAGGGTGACTTGCAGATTGTGGGGAGTACAAGATGTAGAAGTGACAACGAGACCCAAATACTGCTGACCGGGAACAATAGGGAGGTAGACTTGGGATTTAGGTGTTCTTTGTCCACTGTGGACATCACAGTGCCGTGTTGGTCGTTGTCATTAGTGAGGGATAGGGGACTAATCCTTGATGTTGCCTGTACGCTCTGTGGTCAGTTGCTTCCTTCAGATGTTGTAGAACGAGGACACAGAGGGTTTAGGCCAAAGTAAATTAAGTCACAGTCCTCTGTCCCATTAATCTCCACGTTAAAACATTCTTTGACCACTGTGGGGATTCTGGATCAGAATAGATGCCTAGCAACCTATGCAGGTCGTCATGGGTCACTGGTCAGACTCCGTGGTTGATTGTGTGTCATCTAACCCTGCAGGCGTGTCATTGCTAATAACATCGATCACCGGATTGTTTAGTCTAGACTTGATGCACTATAGACCACTGATTCCTGGAATGTTACTAATGCAACTAAAGACAACCAACAAACTTTCCTTAATGTTGGATGACATTACACAGCGATAAAAACTAACAGTTTTAGTCCTTATAATGATAATATATAGCAAAACCCTTTAAAGGGGCAAATTTCTACAAGTCCTAAAATATGATACCTTATCTATTGGGCAGTTTGGCAAGGACTATAGGACCAGTGCCAATTTCTAATGCAGCATTACATGCATTCATAATGATTATTAACACTTTAACATCAAACATCATTTCTCTAAATGAGCGACACCTTTTAGTAACCTCTGCATTAACTGAAAATTTACTCCACTGTATAATCATAAATTTGAAATATCAGATGATTCTTTTTACATTCAAGTATATGCAACACCCAAACACCAATACATTAGTAATGCGTTTCCATTGGATAATCTCACAAAACAACTATGAACTCAAGCATGTGTATGCCATCAGATTCAGTAAATTAGCTTCCTGTTTAAGTGAACATAAGTAGAGACTAGAGACTTGATGAGCTCCCCTCTCAATACTCCCCACCTCCTCTCTCTCTCTCTCTCTCTCTCTCTCTCTCTCTCTCTCTCTCTCTCTCTCTCTCTCTCTACATCTTTCCTTCCCTCTCTCTTTCTCTCTCTCTCCACATCCCTCTCTCTTCTCTCTCCCTCTCCCTCCCTCTCCCTCTCCCTTCCTCTCCCTCCCTCTCCCTCTCCCTCCCTCTCCCTCCCTCTCCCTCTCCCTGCCCCTCCCTCTCCCTGCCTCTCCCTCCCCCTCTCCCTCCCTTTCCCTGCCTCTCCCTGCCTCTCCCTGCTTCTCCCTCCCCCTCTCCCTCCCCCTCAATACTGCACTGTGTCAACCCAAGCAGGTCTGAATGCCCAACTTAGATCCCCTGACACACATTGCACACAAGGCAGTCACTCTCCTCTGCTTGCTACCTGTATTTCTAGTTTCAGCAGGTAAAAAAGTTACCCCAATTTCAAACTTTAAATCCATTGGCGTAAGTTCATTCTCTGCATGAGGAGGACATTCCTGCTTTATGGTGGCCAGATCATGCCTGGAAGTACCTGTGGAATGTTGCAGGTATTTACAGGGGAAAGTTACAAACATAACCTGTACCAGGTGACAATTGTCAACATGTGTTGCTTGATTCCCTCAGTGAATTGATCATGTCAGGGGATTCAGCTGCTGGTCCAACGGCCCATGGCCTGTGGAAATGTGGAAGGGCTAGTTCAAAAGAAAAGACACCCCCCCCCCCCCCCATAAACGGAAGTGATAATTTTTAGTTGTATCTACTCCTGACTTCACCTCCCTTTGATTTGATAAGAGATGTTTATGAAATAATACTATTTCTGTTGGGGTGACTTAAAGCTTTTTTTTGGATTGAGAAGGCGACTTGGCCCTGGTGCCTTGTCAGATTGCTGAAGGGAAGGTTAGGTTTTCACTGGAGCTACCCTGGTGCCAGTCACACAATTATTCTTTAATCTCCCCCTGCATGTTTTCAGACACAGGAGGAGAGTGTTGGTAGGCTTCTTGTAAATTATTTCTTTAATGTTGAGAATTTGAAAAATGTCGAAATGCTGATTAGATGATGGTTCAGTTTCAATATGAATTCACATGACTGATAATGTCTGAGTATTGTGGGAATTTGAGTCTATTCAGCTTCAGAGGCGTGGAGAGCATGTTGAAACATGATTCTATATAGAAAATGTCCATGTACAGTTATCACAATTAGTCCTGTGTGGGAATTAGGTCACAGTGACCTTTGTGAATCAGGACTACAACATTACGTCATTGTAACGTGTACTTGGCATCCACTGTTTGAACAATGTACAGGAACATACTTGAAGAATATTGATTATGAATTTGTTATACCCTGTTATACAGTTCACTCAGCAATGTATTCCTGCAAGGATTTAGGGGGATTTTATACCAAAGTTCTCCCTGCAGAATATGCCTATATAAATATTCAGAATTGATTTTGCTTACAGTTGTGTCTGAATGCTCAACAATTCAATTGCCATATGTTTGGAGGAAATATTCTCTTCAACCTACCATCCCCTTTTTTGAAAATTAATCTAACCTATTGTGAAAATAAGACTCATGCCACAGCAGGTCTTCCAGCTTACTAAGACTTGGGAGGGCATGGGTGGCCCAGTCGTCAAGGTGCCTCAATTCACCGTGCAGAGTTGCCTCCCTTGGGCATGTTGGGCCCGCCAGAAACCTGTGATTCTGTGTTCAAATGCTGGTTCACCCCAATTATGTTTCTTGGTTCGTCAGCACCATAGCCGTGCACGTGGGTTTCATCAAATTGTAGACATCTTAGACCTGCATCATTTCGGGCTTTCCTCCCATGGTGTAAGCAGAATACTCTGCACGCTCATATTAACTTCGAAAACCTGCTTATGGGGAATTTGACAAACATGGGAATATTCTGTTGATCATTTTTTGCAGATTAGTAGAAATAAAATAAAATTTCTGACCCTGATGCAGAAAGCCAGTGTCAACTTGGAGCTGCTGTTAAAGCTGACGGGGCCTGTGTTGCCTCTCTGTTTATTTGGAAAATTATTGACATTGACTTTGTTTATTTCCAGGAACAAGGCTATTGCCGACTACCTCAGTTCCAATGGCTACATGAATGCTCTCGGGGAATTCCAGAAAGAGACCTCAATGGTAATGTATAAAGCCGGACAGATGTCGCTAGAGAAAACAAGGCCATGTTATCATTGATCCTCCGTGTCGTTACCACAAGTAAAATAGTCCTGATTACCACTAAGCCAGAATAATTCTCTCCCTGGAATGCCCACGAGGATTAATTTTTCCGTGAAAAGGGTCGTGTTTGTGTATGTTAGAGAGGGAATGTTTGAGCAGGGTAATTCTGCTCGCATTCAGAGTAAGCCTTGTTTACTTTGCTGAAAATTCTTGACATTTGTTGTGGAGTACAAAATGACACAAGTCCTCCCATGTTGTGACTTCCCGTAGTATTGGTCTGTGTTAGAGGCCTGTAATCCACCTTGGGTAAATACCTCTGTTACCTGTCCAGCCTACGATAGCCCCGGCGCTTTATTGACCCACAGTCGCAGAACTAAAACATGATCACAACAGTCACCTGTCAAAACACTGCACAACATTACATACACATCACAACAGTCACCTGTCAATACACTGCACAACAGTACATACATATCACAACAGTCACCTGTCAAAACACTGCACAACATTACATACACATCACAACAGTCACCTGTCAATACACTGCACAACAGTACATACATATCACAACAGTCACCTGTCAATACACTACACAACAGTACATACATATCACAACAGTCACCTGTCAATACACTACACAACCCTACATACATATCACAACAGTCACCTGTCAATACCCTACACAACAATACATACATATCACAACAGTCACCTGTCAATACACTACACAACAGTACATACACATCACAACAGTCACCTGTCAATACACTGCACAACAGTACATACATATCACAACAGTCACCTGTCAATACCCTACACAACAGTACATACATATCACAACAGTCACCTGTCAAAACACTGCACAACAGTACATACACATCACAACAGTCACCTGTCAATACACTGCACAACAGTACATACATATCACAACAGTCACCTGTCAATACACTGCACAACAGTACATACATATCACAACAGTCACCTGTCAATACACTGCACAACAGTACATACATATCACAACAGTCACCTGTCAAAACACTGCACAACATTACATACACATCACAACAGTCACCTGTCAATACACTGCACAACAGTACATACATATCACAACAGTCACCTGTCAATACACTGCACAACAGTACATACATATCACAACAGTCACCTGTCAAAACACTGCACAACATTACATACACATCACAACAGTCACCTGTCAATACACTGCACAACAGTACATACATATCACAACAGTCACCTGTCAATACACTGCACAACAGTACATACATATCACAACAGTCACCTGTCAATACACTGCACAACAGTACATACATATCACAACAGTCACCTGTCAATACACTGCACAACAGTACATACATATCACAACAGTCACCTGTCAATACACTGCACAACAGTACATACATATCACAACAGTCACCTGTCAATACACTGCACAACATTACATACACATCACAACAGTCACCTGTCAATACACTGCACAACAGTACATACATATCACAACAGTCACCTGTCAATACACTGCACAACAGTACATACATATCACAACAGTCACCTGTCAATACACTGCACAACAGTACATACATATCACAACAGTCACCTGTCAAAACACTGCACAACATTACATACACATCACAACAGTCACCTGTCAATACACTGCACAACAGTACATACATATCACAACAGTCACCTGTCAATACACTGCACAACAGTACATACATATCACAACAGTCACCTGTCAATACACTGCACAACAGTACATACATATCACAACAGTCACCTGTCAATACACTGCACAACAGTACATACATATCACAACAGTCACCTGTCAATACACTGCACAACAGTACATACATATCACAACAGTCACCTGTCAAAACACTGCACAACATTACATACACATCACAACAGTCACCTGTCAATACACTGCACAACAGTACATACATATCACAACAGTCACCTGTCAATACACTGCACAACAGTACATACATATCACAACAGTCACCTGTCAATACACTGCACAACAGTACATACATATCACAACAGTCACCTGTCAATACACTGCACAACAGTACATACATATCACAACAGTCACCTGTCAATACACTACACAACACTACATACATATCACAACAGTCACCTGTCAATACACTGCACAACAATACATACATATCACAACAGTCACCTGTCAATACACTACACAACAGTACATACACATCACAACAGTCACCTGTCAATACACTGCACAACAGTACATACATATCACAACAGTCACCTGTCAATACCCTACACAACAGTACATACATATCACAACAGTCACCTGTCAAAACACTGCACAACAGTACATACACATCACAACAGTCACCTGTCAATACACTGCACAACAGTACATACATATCACAACAGTCACCTGTCAATACACTGCACAACAGTACATACATATCACAACAGTCACCTGTCAATACACTGCACAACAGTACATACACATCACAACAGTCACCTGTCAATACACTACACAACAGTACATACATATCACAACAGTACATACATATCACAAAAGTCACCTGTCAATACACTGCACAACAGTACATACATATCACAAAAGTCACCTGTCAATACACTGCACAACAGTACATACATATCACAACAGTCACCTGTCAATACCCTACACAACCCTACATACATATCACAACAGTCACCTGTCAATACCCTACACAACAATACATACATATCACAACAGTCACCTGTCAATACACTACACAACAGTACATACACATCACAACAGTCACCTGTCAATACACTGCACAACCCTACATACATATCACAACAGTCACCTGTCAATACCCTACACAACAGTACATACATATCACAACAGTCACCTGTCAATACACTACACAACAGTACATACATATCACAACAGTCACCTGTCAATACACTACACAACAATACATACATATCACAACAGTCACCTGTCAATACACTACACAACAGTACATACATATCACAACAGTCACCTGTCAATACACTGCACAACAGTACATACATATCACAACAGTCACCTGTCAATACACTGCACAACAGTACATACATATCACAACAGTCACCTGTCAATACACTGCACAACAGTACATACATATCACAACAGTCACCTGTCAATACCCTACACAACCCTACATACATATCACAACAGTCACCTGTCAATACCCTACACAACCCTACATACATATCACAACAGTCACCTGTCAATACACTGCACAACATTACATACATATCACAACAGTCACCTGTCAATACACTGCACAACAGTACATACATATCACAACAGTCACCTGTCAATACACTGCACAACAGTACATACATATCACAAAAGTCACCTGTCAATACACTGCACAACAGTACATACATATCACAACAGTCACCTGTCAATACCCTACACAACCCTACATACATATCACAACAGTCACCTGTCAATACACTACACAACAATACATACATATCACAACAGTCACCTGTCAATACACTGCACAACAGTACATACATATCACAACAGTCACCTGTCAATACACTGCACAACAGTACATACATATCACAACAGTCACCTGTCAATACCCTACACAACACTACATACATATCACAACAGTCACCTGTCAGTACACTACACAACAATACATACATATCACAACAGTCACCTGTCAATACCCTACACAACAGTACATACATATCACAACAGTCACCTGTCAATACCCTACACAACAGTACATACATATCACAACAATACATACATATCACAACAGTCACCTGTCAATACACTACACAACAGTACATACATATCACAACAATACATACATATCACAACAGTCACCTGTCAATACACTGCACAACAGTACATACATATCACAACAGTCACCTGTCAATACACTACACAACAATACATACATATCACAACAGTCACCTGTCAATACACTGCACAACAGTACATACATATCACAACAGTCACCTGTCAATACACTGCACAACAGTACATACACATCACAACAGTCACCTGTCAATACACTGCACAACAGTACATACATATCACAACAGTCACCTGTCAATACACTACACAACAGTACATACACATCACAACAGTCACCTGTCAAAACACTGCACAACAGTACATACATATCACAACAGTCACCTGTCAATACACTGCACAACAGTACATACATATCACAACAGTCACCTGTCAATACACTGCACAACAATACATACATATCACAACAGTCACCTGTCAATACCCTACACAACAGTACATACATATCACAACAGTCACCTGTCAATACACTGCACAACAGTACATACATATCACAACAGTCACCTGTCAAAACACTGCACAACAGTACATACATATCACAACAGTCACCTGTCAATACACTGCACAACAGTACATACATATCACAACAGTCACCTGTCAATACACTACACAACAGTACATACACATCACAACAGTCACCTGTCAATACACTGCACAACAGTACATACATATCACAACAGTCACCTGTCAATACACTGCACAACAGTACATACATATCACAACAGTCACCTGTCAATACACTGCACAACAGTACATACATATCACAACAGTCACCTGTCAATACACTACACAACAATACATACACATCACAACAGTCACCTGTCAATACACTGCACAACAGTACATACATATCACAACAGTCACCTGTCAATACACTGCACAACAGTACATACATATCACAACAGTCACCTGTCAATACACTACACAACAGTACATACATATTACAACAGTCACCTGTCAATACACTACACAACACTACATACATATCACAACAGTCACCTGTCAATACACTACACAACAGTACATACACATCACAACAGTCACCTGTCAATACACTACACAACACTACATACATACTCTGTTCATCTTCCCATTG